GATCAGGTTGGCAGGCAGAAGCGGTTAGGGGCAATCAGGCAGGCAGGCAGGCAGGCAGGCGAGTGGCTGGGAGCCAGCAGTCCTGGATTGTGAGAGGGATGTCCGACTGCTGGTTTAGTTGGCAGTCAGACATCCCCCGAGGGGTCCTAGATTGGAGAGGGTGCGGGCTAGGCTGAGGGACAACCCCCCCAGTGCACGAATTTCGTGCACCAGGCCTCTAGTGAATACATAAGAGAAACTGCCAGAAATGGTCATACCTTTTGCTGATTATTTTGACTGCAAATGCTTGGTTACTTTTTTTGTGTATGCACTTTCGACAAATTGAAAAACTTCCTTCTCCCAATGGCTTGTCTTTCAGATCTAGGTCATAGTGCTGATAGAATGGAGAGTCCTGATAGGAGACCAACATCATTTAACTTAAGAAAATATCAGTAACACACACGGGGTAAATAAAACTGCAAAGTAATAGGACATTATTAATGTTAATAAATGTAAACGGAATACATGCGTGGATCATCTTCTAAAATTCATCTTACTTTAGCTCATTTCTATGTTCATCTGTATCATTGATTTAAGTCACATAATTTTTGATCATTGTAAAAAGGAGCTCATTCACACTGATGTTAATAATTCTCTAGGGCAAATGATGCTATTCCATTTATTCATTTCTTAAAACCGCATCTTGGTCGAATGGTAAGTCTATTAAGTTTACTGGGCCTGAGAATGTTAATCAGTATTAGTATCTAAACCATAAATATGTTATTTAATTAACCACATCTATATACCTTGATCATTGCACTCCTGGCAACATTTGTCGCCCCAGGACGTTCCACTCCTGTGTGACACTGAAGAGGATCTACAACAGCTGCGTTGGGCTTGAAGAGAATAGAAGGAGCAACGAAGGAATAGCCCTAAAAGACAAAAGCAAAGGTGAGAATACAGATTTGCAATTTTCCAGTTTAGCATAGACTAGACTGTAATAATTTTTTCTTAAGTTAAGAAAAAATAATAAAAAACACTCAAATATTCGGTAAGATAATTCTAATTTTATTGTATTTGTAATCTAAAATGCAAGATTATTTCAAATTAATAGAAAAATGCTTTCCAGAAGGAGATAATGCCATCTTCTGGTAGAACTAAACCAATTCAAAATTAAAGGCAGAAAAATACCTCTTCTCAAAAAAAAAAAAAGAAAAGAAAAGAAAAATACCTCTTCTCTATTTCACACCAAAAATCTGACTCATAGGTGTAATTCTTTTGCATTTCTGATAAAAGTTTATTTATAAACACAACTAACTTCTCAAAAAAGGTCGAGTTAAGGTATTAAGCAAGTGGTCCAAGTGCCACTGTTTTCCAAACTAGAAAAAAAACAAGTTACATTCCAGTTGGTTTCTAAGTCAGCAATTTTTTGACTCATTCTATTTCCTTAGACTTATTAAATTTAAAATTAAGTTTTAGAAAAGGAATAAAATCAAGTGGTAGAATGATGTCCTGAACCAAAAGTGACATAATGATGGATGATTAATCTGTTCAGGCTAGAACATTCACTAGTTCAATGAACATTTTCTAAACACCTACCATGTGCCCAGCCAAGTGCTAGACCAGGGGTCCTCAAACTACGGCCTGCGGGCCACATGCAAATACAAATATTGTATTTGTTCCCGTTTTGTTTTTTCACTTCAAAATAAGATATGTGCAGTGTGCATAGGAATTTGTTCATAGTTTTTTTTAAACTATAGTCCGGCCCTCCAACGGTCTGAGGGACAGTGAACTGGCCCCCTGTTTAAAAAGTTTGAGAACCCCTGTGCTAGACATTAGTGTCATGAATGTTCAGAGACATGGTCTGGATGGCCAGGTGCAGTCATACTTATTTGTGGAAGTCAAAAGAGGGAAGCTATGATGCCACTTAATAGAATATTTCATCTTAAGTCTGAGAAAGATTCTTTTCGCAATATAAAATCCTTTCTAAACATTTTTTGAGCAGTTAAGATTATTCACTGAAGACAAAGAATCAGATAACATTATTTATGAACTAAAGAATCCTATATAATAAAAGGCTAATATGCAAATAGACTGAATGGCAGAACAACCAAAAAACTGGTCGCTGTGATGTGCGCTCACCACCAGGGGGGGTGTGCAGAACATGGCGGGCGTTGGCTGTGGCAGGATGGTGAAGCAGGTGAGTGGGGGCACCAGACCAAGGTGGGACGCCAGTTGCTGTCATCGGGGCGAGCCTCTGGTGGTTACTGAAAATTCTTTGCTCCCATGCACCGCCCAGTGCTCGCACCTGCTGCCTGTGCCAGCCCTGCTTGTACCCGCTGCTGGTGCCCAGTACCAGTCCCGATCACTCAGCGCCATCAGTGGGTGTGAGCACCTGCTGCCGGCCCTGATTGTCACTGAGGGTTTCTTCACCTCCCCCTGCTCCTGAGGGGTGATCGGGGCAGCAGCTGCTGCTCACACCAGCTGCTGGCGCTGGCCCCAATTATTCCACGCTGTCAGCGGTTGCGAGTGGGGCCAGCGCCCATCAGCACATGGGAGCAGCAGCAGCAGGAGCAGGGCTGCCAGGAGACAGGGGACCAGGGGCCGTGATGGGAGGGGCCAGGCGGGGGTGTGGAGGGCTGGCCAAGACCCGCCCCTGTGCCTACTGCAGCCTCAGGGTCCACAGTTCCTTTCAAGGTGCACAAAGTCGTGCACTGGGCCCCTAGTGTTTTATATAAGTAGGGATAAAATAAAGTAGTATTATGCTTTCTATAAAAGAGCCTGAACTGAAATAAAATTTCAGGGATAAAAATCAAGTTTTTCTATCAAAAATAAGCACATAAACAATGTTTGCTATTTAACAAACCATAAGCTTTAGTTAACAATGTTTAAATCTCTGTATTTAAAATTTTTGAAGATTCAAAGCATGCCTGGCCAACGCACATGCACAGCCTGGAGCTCACCTGAAACAGCCTCTCAGAGTTCTGGGGCAGCGCTGCCGGGGAGTAGGTGGGATCCATTTCTGTGAACTCTTCTGCAAAGTTACTCACATCTAATTCATCTCGGATGACTGGCTTAAATGGTGCGGGCACTTTTTTGGCAGCTAAATCATCCCAATTTATTTTCTAAAACAGAGGAAGAAAGTTAGTACAAAATAGAAATCAGCAAAGCTGAAATATATTTTCTAAGAATAACAAAGCCGGATTAGGATTTTAATTGATCATAGAAAGAGGCATATATTTCAAATTAATGATTAAATATATATATTTATAAGTATTTTCTGATGGCAGCTTAGCAGAGCCTGACATGGAGTCTCATCATGTCCTCTAGGGGGCACCAGGGCACCCTAGTTTACCCTTAGGGACAACAGAAAAGTAACTTTTGTTCTGAGCCTCCAGGGAAAGGTTAAGCCAAAACAAAACAAAACAAAGCAAAATAAAACAAACTCTAATGAAGGGCTTTACGATGCCCGGTGACTATGGCTATGAAGTCTAAAGGCACATGCCTATTCTCTAGAGGCAGTGTTACTTAGCTTTCCTCCTGGTCACCTGGACAGATCAGAAAATAAACTCAGCACAAGGCATGTATTTACTTACATCTATAAGCTTAAATGATACTACCGTATTGATGAATCACTCTTTCTCATTCCACTGTATTCATGCCTCTTAAACACTGCCTCTTCTCTTCCCATGGGATAATCCAAGCCCCCTGTCCACACATAGCAGACACTCACTGTCTGATAAATTGCTGCTTTATATTACTCAAATGCAACCCTCTGCTCTTTTTTTTTTTTATGCTCCTTTTGTCACTTAACACAACATCAGATAATGCTTTACGGAACTGCGCCCTACAGATATCCTATTCAGCTATGTCTTCAAGTCTAAGATGTCATCATTGATAGTAAGATATTACATTATGCACCATTAAGAAAGAAAAAGCAGCCCTAGCTGGTTTTGCTCAGCGGATGGAGTGTTGGCCTGGGAACTGAAGGGTCCCAGGTTCGATTCCGGTCAAGGGCACATGCCCAGGTTGCAGGCTCAGTGCAGCGGATTGGTGATTCTCTCTCATCATTGATGTTTCTATCTCTCTTTCTCTCTGAAATCCCCCTTCCTCTCTGAAATCAATAAAAGTATATTTTAAAAATAAAAAAAAAGCATTACCAATTAGAACAGTGAGATGTTGTCCACTGAAAGATGTATACTGATTTCAGAGAGGGTAAAATGTGAAACCTGCATTTCTAGGTTGGTGACATTGTGTAAGTTCAATCAACTAACATAAAATGTTTTTATTATGCCCTCTTGTGGAGGCAATGGAGATAAAATCATTAAGTTGCTCGAATTTTTCAGCTGGAATGGTTTTAGAGATCATTTAATTTATCTCCTTTATTTGATCCAGATGGGAATTGAGCCTGGGAATAAGAATTAACCATTTCACTTAAACATTAGCTGGTGGAAGCGTCAGGATTTGAACACAGTCTCTTGACTTCCTACTAGTGTTCTTTCCTCTGTGGCTGTACCATTTTCCATTTTATGATTTGTGCTTGGCTACTGTACATACATTAGGAGAAACTTCTAGAGTAAGGAGGTAATTTAAAGAAATATGTTGTTAGCAGGAGAATGTTTATTATATAGAAAATTGAATGCTATTATAACCCTTTCCACCTCTACTCCATTTAGGTCTTTAAAGTAGAATTCTGGTTTTTCCTTAAGTCTCCTTATCATTTAAAAGGTCAAGGCAATTAAATAACCTAAAATTACTATTCCAAGCTAGAGAGAAAAGAATTTTCTCTAATATGAAGGATATGTTGTAATATTCACAAATACAGGGAATCGTGGAGAGAAAAATTCTAGGAAAATCTGATTGGAGATATTTTGTTTGAATACTTTTTTGAATTTTATCATTAATTTTTGAGCCAAACTTCTGAACAAGATATATGAAATCGTTTGTTCAAATGTTAACTTTCCTATGCCACATGCATCTATGAAATGTGCATACTGAGAAATTAATTTTATTCTAAATGTATTTGCTGCTATGTATGGAGACTGAAATAACTGCGTTTTTTGAGCACAGAAGTAGAGATACTTCTTACTCTCAATCACTATTTGTTCTTCCATATTTAAAAACAATAAATAATGTGAAAGCTTACTCTACAGCAGAGTTTTTTTCTTTGCACTGGTAGCTATTTTCGTTTGTTTTGGTGCTAATAATGTAAAAGTTCAGTTTGCAGAATAAAAATAAAACTTGGATGTCCCTTTAGATCAGAAATATTTAGGTTATGCTTGTTGATATGATGAAATTATTTAAAAGCCAGAAGCTCGAGGTATTAGAAATCAAGGTCAGAGTATCCCAAGTTGACCATTTAGACTGAAATAATTGAAACAGCCAACTCAGTCAATTCAACTTTTCCCCCCAGTTATCTAACATTTTGGGGGGTTTTTTTGGGACAAAATTGAGCAAACTGAGTTGAGCAGCTGTATTGGTATCCTGTGGTGTGGTCTCATTAGGCATCTTTAGAATAGAAAAAGCACTTTCTCAAGTACAAAGAAAATAAATGAGTGATTCTCTATGTGTTACAGACATGTCACTAAGAAATAGGGAGATTTCTGAATTCTCTGAGATTTCTCCTGGGAAAAGAAGAGATAAAATCACTATCTAAAAGGTACAACACAGGGATCATGAACTGAGAGAGAAGCAAAACATATAATAAAAGTCTCCTTAGTTCATATGCCTAAATCTTGTGATCATAAATGGAAGCTAATACTCAGAAACTCTAACCAATTAGTATGTAAAGAATCAAATGTTACTATGATCCCCCCCCCACCACCACCACCTCCTGCTTCATTTAGGGAGAAAGAGACCACTAGGTCTCTACCAGTCGAATTTTGATCCTTCCTAAAGGGTCCCTGTCACTTAAAAAAAAAAAAGTGCCATGTACATGAAAATAGGGAGAAAACAACTCAAAAGAGACCATGTTCACTCATTTCACCAAGAATGTTGAACAGTGAAATCAGCAGAGCATAGATCTGCTCAATAACTTTCACCTGAAAAAAGAGATGCTCTTTGATTTCATCTGCATCACGCGGACCACATCCCAATCTTTTCTTAGGATCTTTCATCAGAAGACGCTGAATTAAGTCTTTAGCTAAAGCACTCATATCTTGGGGGTACGGAGGCTCACTTTTTAATATTCTCCTGTAGGCAGATAAAACGTGTGGTTAAAACAATCAGAGAACGAAGCGATAGTGACAGTATTCTTAGCAAAACCAAGAAGAGCACAATGCACTTGGAAATTGAACAAATGTGAAAAACATACACAAGGATATTTAAAATATGAAATCAAATTTCTGAAACTTAAATAAGCAGAAACAAAAAGGATTGGATCCTTTTTCAATATAAATCAATCCTAACACGAAGCCACCACCCAAATATTTAATTGGGAAGAAAGGAAAAGGAAAGCTTGGGGCCAGACAAGACCACCTACCTATGGACTAAACCCCACGATGAAAGATTTCACAATGGAAGCAACTCTTAATAAATTCAGGGAAGTGAGTTCAGTATCCAGATTTGAAAGGACAAACGAAACCCCAAACCATACCCGCCTTGCTTGTCTTTCCCTGCATGCCAGCAAACAGAAGGGGCCAGCGGGAGTGCAGTGGGAAGGAAGACTGAGGCGGGGAGTCAGACCACCTGGATGTGGCTCTGCTCTTGAAATCTGAACAGCCCGGGCTTCTGCTTCACTTCCTACCACAATGAAACAGACAGGCAAGCTCTGGAAGGCAAGTGCCACTCAAGGGCAGAGTCAAGGCTGCTCCTTATTATGGGAAGTAAAAAATGAAGATAATCCAGCCCCTTGATGAAATATCTGAATTTATTCTAAGGTCACAGAAGAGATCAATCCAATCCAAATAAATGTACTTTTGCCCCCCTGAAAAGCCAGATCAATAATTTCATGAGAAAGAAAAAGTGGAAGGGACATAGAAATTAAGAAGCTTAACACAATCATGGAGCTACACAGTTACTCCATTATGTGGGTTTACAAAAATGCCCCCTGTTGTGCATTAAAATATGAGTAAGTTATGGGTCAAAACAGATAAGTTTATAAGACAGTACAGTGTGGTAAGAACACGGACTTTACAGCCAGACTGAGTTCACTCTCAAAGTTAAACAAGTTCTGCTGCTTACTGGCTGTGTGACCTTGAGGCAGTTCATCTCTTTGTATCTAGATTTCTATCAACTGTAAAATGGGGATAACAACATTATCTACCTGAAATGGGTATTACGGCGTTTAAATGAGCTAAGATAGGATGCACAGCACAAAGCACAGCAAATGCTTGATAAAATGAGCTACTGCTATCCTATATAATAAAAGCCTAATATGCTATGTGCCCAGTTGTCTGGTCAGTCATTCAACCAATCAAAGCATAGTATACTAATGACATGGGAAGGCTGCTCAACTGCTCGCTATGAGGTGCACTGACCACCAGGGGGCAGTCAACCAGTTGACCAATCGCTATGACGTGCACTGACCATAGGGGGCAGGTGCTACAACTGGTAAGTGAGCTTGCTGCTGGGGTCCAGCTGATTGGGACTGAGCAAGACAGGCCGGACACGCCCTGGAGCCCTCCTACAGTCCCTCCCCAGCCCCTATCGTGCACCGGTGGTGGGGTGCCTCGGCCTGGCCTGTGCCCTCTTGCAATCCAGAACCCCTTGGGGGATGTCGGAGAGCCAGTTTCCGCCTGATCCTGCAGGCCAGGTCGAGGGACCCCACTGGTGCATGAATATGTGCACCGGGCCTCTAGTACTTCCATAAGTGGAGACTGTAGCAGGTAGCCCCTGAGAATCTGTAAAACAACAGTGGAACTGTAAATTTTTACTAAAAACTCCAGCAGTGCTGTTCATTGCAAAGCTACTTCAATTTCTAGCACTCCATCTGGAGAATGTAGGGGATGACGGTAGAACAAGTGAAAAGATGAGCAGCGCCCTCTTTTCATCTCAATTCTTTACATTCTTCCATTGCTCACTGCTCGGCAGGATTTTCAGCATCAGAGACAATCCTCCCCTCAGATCAGGCGCCCGCATGTCTGACAGAGAAACCGGGAGCCCTGTCCTCAGGGAAAAACAAGCACTGCCTTTTCCATTTCCCCACCTTGAATGTGCCTCTGCTCCGCAGGCAGGAATGTGCTGTGCAAGAGGATCAGAATAAAGACACATGGCTGCAGGCATTCTTTTCTGAGCCCTGGACTGACATCCTCTGAGGTTCTGACTCTAGACCAGGGGTGGGCAAACTTTTGGACTCGAGGGCCACAATGGGTTCTTAAACTGGACCGGAGGGCCGGAACAAAAGCATGGATGGAGTGTTTGTGTGAACTAATATAAATTCAAAGTAAACATCATTACATAAAAGGGTACGGTCTTTTTTTTTTTTAGTTTTATTCATTTCAAACGGGCCGGATCCAGCCCGCGGGCTGTAGTTTGCCCACGGCTGCTCTAGACTATTACTTCCCCAACCCCAGTCATCTGCCGTTGACTGCAAGCCGACTCCGTGCTGGTCACTGGGGAAAGAAGTGGTCAGTCATGTGGACCCACGGTGGGTTCAGCCACAAAAGGAGGGGCTCTGAGAGAGCAGTGAGCGCCTGAAAACAGGGATGGCCCACCGAGATGCCAGAACTGGAGGGGGAGCAGAAGACCTGTGTACACCCAGGGCACACAGAACGCATACAACCAGGGTGGGTGGCAGGTGCAGGGAACTAGAGTTCTAGATTCGGACGAGGCAGGGATCAGGTCGGGAAGAAACTGAGCGGAAATCTGAAGGAATTCCCGTCGAAAACATGCTGATGAGGGAACATGGAGAACAGTATGGTAGCCCCAAATCCTCACCTTTCCCAAGTGAAAGTAATATGGCCAGAACTAGCAGCAGTAGAGCCTCGCAGACGATGAGGCACCACCACCCCAGCTCGGAGCAGTGAGAGCAGGAGCCACGCAAGAGACTCCTCCTCGATGTGGCAGTAAATAGAGTGGCCCAGGGTCTCCTTAGCAGGTGCAGAGGGCTGACGCCTGTTCCTGGTAGGACACTCATGCCAGGAAGAGAAGCAGAAATTGGGGTGGGGCAGGAGAGAGAGAGAGCTCCTAGCAGGCTTAAACCTTTTCTCCTAGGAAGATGACCTTGGGTTTACCTTCTTACACAGTTTCCTTGAAATGGATGAATCACATCAATGTGAAATGTCAGCCATGCCTGGTTATTGTGAAATAACCCGAGAGGTGACCTGCACATGGCCGGAGAGGTGGGGGCAGGCACGTAAGCCCTGAAGGTTGTCTGGCCCAGGGCTGTTAAAATACTTCCAGCAAACTGTGTGTTATCTCTTATCCCCAAGGGTGTCCGTGTGGGGGCTTGGCAGCTGCGCTCATGGGAGCTGTACGATGCCATTTCCGTGTTGAGCTTCCCATGCTGGGGTGGTCCACACCCACCGACTTGATCTCATCGCTAATGGCCGAGTGTGCCTTTCTGGGCTGGGAAACCAGGCCGAGGCGGTAGGCAGGACCCTGACGAAGCCGTGTTTGATGCTGTCATGCTGATTCACTCTGCTTCCCCACCTGTGTCCTGCTAGAAAGCTAAGTCAAATTTCTGCCCTGTGTTTCATTCAGGTCTCTAAACCCTCCACCGTCCTGGAGAGTGCTTCAGAGGACAAATGAATAATACAGTATGATCCAGCTCTACCCCACATGCAAGTGAAGCAGACATAAACAGATCGAAAGGATGATGAAAGAAAACAAGAAAAAGAAGGCTGAAGAATATGAGTACCAAGGGAGGGTCGTTTCACTCTAGTCTCCAGCGACCACAATTGGTTCGTGTGGAATAATGTGTAGATGAATAGCTACTGTGACACACATTAATAGATTTGGGAGTAACCAGCAAAAAACCAACAAAAAAACCCTGGGAACACAGATGTTGCTATTGGGTACATAATACCTAAAATGAGGAAGAAAAGAAAAAATTGAACAGTACATTGGGAATCAAGAAGGCTTCTTAAAATATGCCAATAAAGGATTTGATCA